TGACCGACAATATGGTTTTCTCCGGGGTCGCTCAGCAGGTGATCTTCTCGTCTTTCTAACACACCGGTGGGCACAGGCGATCGAGACCAAAGGAGAGGCTTGTGCGGTTGGTTTGGACATAGCGAAGGCCTTAGATCGGGTCTAGCATAAGGCGCTTCTCTCGAAGCTCCCTTCCTTTGGGCTTTCCGCGAAATTGTGTAATTGGGCCACCAGCTACTTTGCGGACAGAAGCATTAAGGTCGTTGTCGACGGTGCATGCTCCGACTTGAAATTCGTAAATGCTGGTGTCCCACAAGGCTGTGTACAACTGTACCGAAATAGTAAGGTGTATTACACTAAACATTTTAAAAGACAGCCCAATGTACTGGGTGATCGCTTTTTTGTAACCACCTAAACATGGTCGGATTACCACGGACTTGCACCTTCTAATGACTTTTATTTAATTATCTCGTAAATTATTATATGTACGACGCTGAAATTCTACAGGTAGACAACTGAACTAAACAACTAATTATTGGCATAACATTCAGTTTATATATCCACACACAGGTTTATCGGTGGCCAAAAAAGGCCGCACACATTGTGATCGTGAACTTGGAGAGCTACATTTCATCATAACTTTTTAGTCACTTATAGTATTCTTACGAAAATTCGTATACATTTGAAGATAGTTACAAGCAATAGAATAACGTTTGAAGTAAGTCTTTAGAGGTCTTATTTAAAGTGTTAGGACGTATTGTAGTGTTTTCATACTTACCTAAATAATTTTTAAACGGTCCATTATTTTTGTTATTTTATTGTAAAACTAATCCTTAAGAAGTTATGTACAAAAGATGGTTACAATCCGCTTACCCGTTTCAGAGATCCAGCAAACCCACAAACGTTACTCCAGCAGGATTTCGAATAACTTCGCAGCCGAAGAAAATACAAATACCAAATAAGTTGTAACATTTACCTAGTCCAGATAACTAATTATCTAGCTAAAATTTATTTCAATATTACAATTAAAAAAGAAAATGTCTGGCTGCGGTAACGTTTCAAACGTTACCCCAGCAGGAAATGTTTTTTTGAAATAACTAAAAAAGTTTAACAGAAACAAATTTAAAAATGTGCCTAACAATTACAGAAGGGGAGCAACTAATTATCTATAACGTTTAAATGACCATTTTCGACATTATTTTGCTGGGGTAACGCACACCGATAGAGTGTGCGTTACCCCAGAAACTAGTGCTTAAGATCAATTAGGGAAAAAAACAAAATAAATAATAGGTAATAATAATGAATAAATATTGAATGTATTTAACACTGTACGCAACTGTACCGAAATCGTAAGGTGTATTACACTAAACATTTTAAAAGACAGCCCAGTGTACTGGGTGATCGCTTTTTTGTAACCACCAAAGAAGAAAAAAAAAAAGAAAGAAGTTATGTACAAAAGATGGTTACAATCCGCTTACCCGTTTGAGAGATCCAGCAAACCCACAAACGTTACTCCAGCAGGATTTCGAATAACTTCGCAGCCGAAGAAAATACAAATACCAAATAAGTTGTAACATTTACCTAGTCCAGATAACTAATTATCTAGCTAAAATTTATTTCAATATTACAATTAAAAAAGAAAATGTCTGGCTGCGGTAACGTTTCAAACGTTACCCCAGCAGGAAATGTTTTTTTGAAACAACTAAAAAAGTTTAAGAGAAACAAATTTAAAAATGTGCCTAATAATTACAGAAGGGGAGCAACTAATTATCTATAACGTTTAAATGACCATTTTCGACATTATTTTGCTGGGGTAACGCACACAATATTTCTCGGGAAAACGTCATCGAGAGTCGAAACAAACTTGTGTCTCAAATTGAAACTTCCTTAGCGGAGGTTTCAGATTGGGGCTGTTTAACCCAAAAAAGACACAGGTCTGTGCGTTCACCGCAAAAAAGATACCATTTGTCGTATCACGTCAGTTTGAGAGTACCTCCCTAAATGCCTCAGCCAGCATCGGAATCCTAGGCATCGACATATCGAGCGAAGTCCAGTTTCGGGGTCAAATTGGCCTCGAAGAAGCTCGGTGTCCTGAATAGATCGAGGCAGTATTTCACGCCGGCCCACCGCCTTCAGCTCTATAAGGCGCAAGTCCGGCCGCATATGGAATACTGTTCTCATCTCAATTCAGGGGCACCTCAGTACCAGCTTCTCCCTCTGCACCGCATCCAACGAAGAGCGACTCTAATTAATTGTTCAGACTAATACCAGCCGTCTCTTTCCGTCATCGTTCCACACGGCAAAATTTTCATCCTCAGCACCTGGATAGTTAGCACTAGATAGCACTGTGCGCTTTGCCCCGCACAACCAATCTGTGGAACGAGTTATCGTCTACGGTATTTCTGGACCGATAAGACCTTCAAACCTTTAAGAAATGAGCGTACTCCTTCCTAAAAGGCCGGCAACGCGTTTGTGACTCCTGAGTTGCAGACGTTGATGGGCGGCGATGGTCACTTTCCATCAGGTGACCCGTGTGCTCGTCTGCCCCCACTAACATAGTAAAAAGTATGTAATCTTAACAAAACAAATAAAAAATTGTACTTGAAAAAAAATAGGTTTAAAATGAAATTCCAAGAACTGAATTTAGGTTTTTAATACGAGATTAAAGAAAAGTTTGTATGAGCGAGAGGTTTGCAGTGACTGATATACATATACATACTAAACGATAGCTAAACTATCTAGACGAAGAAATAAATCGATAGAGGGACCAATCAATTGAATTGGATCACTGAGTTAAATGAGTTATATATATCTTTAGAGCGAAATGATATGTTTCTATCTTTTCAGCTCAGTAATACATTTTGCGCATCACTAGTGACAAGCCCCTATTTTTGTTTTAATTTTAGTTTAGTTTTAATAAAAAAAAATGTAAGGTGTTGTTTTACCGTACACTAACTCACACTAACTAGGATGTCTCTTTCGTAATAAATAAATAAGAACAGATAATGTATGAAGCATACTTTTATTTATAACATAATTTAAAATCATGTAAATCTTGTAAAATCTGAATAAAATATCCAACAATACTATGTTAACATACAATTATATAGTATTCAATAATAAATCTTACTATTACGGTGTCTATATCTATCTAGATTCGGTATACCTAATATCTAAGATAATATCCTATAAATAATAATTAACAATTTTCACTAATGGCATTCGACACTAGAGTAATGATCAAATCTACAATTTTCTCTTTAACCCATTTAAGCCATACCCAAACTAAAACGTCCAATCAGTAAGAATTTGTATTTGTAACTTTTCCTCTAAGCCTGCTAGTCCTTTCTATAAACTATAAGTATAATATGTGTGAGGAAGTAAAATTTTGCTATTGTTTACAAAATAAGAATTTTACGACCGTAAAGAAACCGGACCGACCGACCGTAAAGAAATTGGTTAAGAAAACGTTGTTTCCCCTGCAAAGTAACATTTGGACACAAATGGGTTAAAATTAATAACAGTTGGTAAAAATAAGCATTTGCTTTACTATTTCTAAACTTATTTTGCTCACATAGGAGAGATATACAGGGTAACTTAACTATATTTATTTAACATTCTTTTAATTTAATAACTTAATAAAAAAACATTTTGGCACAAATACCAAAATTATAAAATATGAAATATCATTTTCATGATATAATTATATTAATAAAAAAGCTCTCGAGCACTTATATATCATAGGATATGTGAACTAGTATTACAAAACAAAGACACTTTGCCTTATGACTATGTAAATAGTGAGTCACCGGTGTATTAGACCGGACAACGCCATTTGTCTTGTTTTGAACAGCACGGGCCCCGTCACAATTATCGCAACAGTGAACGAAGCGAAGCGTGAATTGAAGCTATATGCACCGCGTCTCTACAATTGAACTTTAAAAGATTAAACAAATGAGGGCAACAGAGATCTTTACTTAAACTTGCGATACACTGACGTGAATCTAATGTTATTTGTACTTTTCTAACACATGTATGACTTGTAGAGTTTCTACTTTTAGTCCACAATAAAACGGTTATTCAAAGTACATACATACATAATCAGGAAAAAGTAGTATAGCATCATTTAAACATCACTCATTTCAGAGACAATGATTCTGATTATCAATCAAAAAGCAATATCTTCCTAGTGAAACTAAAGTTTCAGTGGTTATCTACTAAATCAATATTACGTCATTTAACGTATATCCAAGTTATTAACTAGGAACTCTTTGAATAGACATTTACAACTTTTAGATAGGGTTTATCTATTAAAATACGCTTCAGCCTGACAGGAGAACAGCTTGAATAAAATTAAGAGTAAATAAATGTATATACTAAAAGTAAATGTAACCAATATATCTATATATCACTCATCTTGTTGCATCTACTTCACAATGTCGTCTAGTTCCACAGCACCAAGAAAGATGCCACGACTACAATGCACCATTTTCGTAAGTCGTACAGACCGCACACGATATACCGAATGATGAAAATGTAATCCACTATTTTATCTTTCTAGACATTACACATGTTGCATTATCAAAACACTTGTTTAATTATATGCACACAAATACAAACACTCTCTTTCAACCACACAGCATTATTACACTGTACAAATCTTTATTGTTCAATACCAATAGATAACAATTCACTACTATATCATCATGTAGAGAATAAAGTACTTGAAATACTGTTTCAATGAAGATTCTAAATTTCATGCTCAACCAATTGCATATAATATATAGGCACAATACTGGCTCTAATGTATACGGTTTTAAAAAATCCAAATTTATATTTTTATATTTTTGACCAAGCAAAAGCTATCATATCAGTCTCATTCGCTACTACAATTTTTAACTAATATTTATTTCAGCTATTTTTTTTTTCACTCAAAAAGGCACAATCATTCCTATGTCATTATCTAATATCTCAATTGACAAAGAACCTAAGGCACATATTTGTAGGATAATAAATGGAAATTAATTCCTTTGACCATGAGTAGTCCACATATGTTCTTTGAATGTCTCTCGCATAGTGAATGACCTCGGACAAAGATAGCAACAAAGTCGATTGGTCAAATCAGAGTGCATTAATCTAACATGATACTTTAAAGCTGACTGGTTGGAATACTTCATGCCACAATGCGGGCAATCACCGCAAATAGCTGCATGATTTGATTGCTGATGCGCCAAACCTTGCGATGTTGAAGCTCCACCAGCTATTACAGGAACAGTGGACATTCCGGCAAGTAGGAGAAGAGCTTGAGATTGCTCTTGCGAGTATGTGCTGTCTGAATCTGTACCATCCTGATGTTCAGACAATAACACTTCTGGTTCATATTCTACATCAGATTTAGGCGACTGTTTTTCAGGTTTCACAGCATTCTCTTCTGTGGTTTTTACAGGACTTTGCGATGAAGCATTGGTAAATGTTACTGCATCTGGAAGATCCTTGGAAAATCTGGTTGTATGGACATCCACCATGATATTTGACACTTTCTTTATGGTTGTATTGTTGGCACTAACTTCACTTTTGGATGGATTGATCCCTGTAAGGTTAAATTAAATTTATTTAATATGAACTGTATTAATACTGTAGAATGTGGTTAATTTTTAAAAAGCTACCAACCTGACAGTAGGGACCTGGCAAGCATACTGTTTTCATAATCAGGAAGACTATCATCATTATCTGAGGCTATGTTTAGTGATAAAGCAGGTGAACTGTTGTCATCATTTCTTTCAGTTTTTATTGTAACCGGAATGTTGTCACCTTGAACATTGGCCTGAAAAGATATGCATATGTAATTTATAAAATTAAAATATGGATGCTGAAAACACTGCTTGAAATAAATGATGTCTTTTGCTCTGATACATTAAAGTGAAATTTCTGTTGCAAAATAACCTACAGTTATAATTATCCAGAAGTTGGCACTCTTTCTACCCATATCTTTTCTGGGGGATATGTTTCTTATTTATAGCTTATGGGTTATCCAGAGCGTTTTGTTTATGCACTTTTTTTAAACTGCCATATTGTTTGGAAGTATGAAGCTATTAAAAACAGCTCTGCAATATTGCAATATGCAGTTAGTTTTAGGTTTCTTATAAATTATTGACAATTTTAATAAAAATAAATTCCATGTGAATATATTTTGGTCAGAAATGAAAATGTATTCTAAATACTAAGAGGCTGCAAAACTATTGGTGGACAAAGAATGTTATTGCCATTAATTTATATCAATGCTCCTAGTAGCTACTTATACATTTACACTATGAAACACTAAGCCTTTCAGCTTGCCTCATACAAAACACTTCATGATTTTATTACTAAAATAATTAAAAATAAAAAACAAGAGTATAGTATTAAAAGTTTCATTCTCTTTTTACTAGACAATTAAATTCATTTTTACATAATAAGGAATGCTGAATGGCAAAGTGAATTGATTAATGTCAAAATTCATCCACTAGCGATGAATTTTGATGTAAATCATTTCTGTTTTTTAAGTATTATTTCATGTTACTATTCTGTTTTACAGATAGTTAAAGACTAACATTGTATATATTCTCCAAATATCTTTTACATTTTTATTTCTTTTCCTACTTCTACTACAAACAAACTAGAATACTTTTAAAATATTACATCCAAACCTTGCAACTTATTCAATTTAAAAAGATACAAAGAAATCTTTGCCCATTTTTATTTATAGAGATTGCTATAATTTGAAGAAACATTTGCTACATTGTTTTATAAAATTATAATAATATTGAGGAAAAAATCTTTGACTTATTTCATTATTGGGTAGTTGACAGAGAACACTACAACAACACGTCACAAACTATTATCTCATGTTACAAAAAATACACAGTACCTGCTGAATTGGGCCTGAACTTTTGCCATTGCTGGTTATAACTGCAGGTTCAGTCTTTCCATCATTTTTTTTATCTATGTTATTTTCTGATAAGAACAAGGAATTATCAAATTTTGTAGTTTGCTGTGTAAAATTATTCCTATTATAAATATCACAAGTTTCTATAACTTTACTCTTTTTGTGATTATCCCCAATAGTTACATCACTAGGTTTGTCTGAAGTACTACTGCGTCGCTTCTTCAAAGCTGGCAGTTTTGAATCCTTTTGATTGCCACCAATATGTGGTTTTGGTGATATAGTTAATTGTGTGTATAACTTATTTGATGTATTGGGTGATGAAAAGATTTCCTTCTGAAAATGAAAAAATTGACAATTTGAGACTAGAGGTAAGGATAATAGTTTAGATATATGTTTTCACTTAGTCTTATAATGTGACTAGAGCATTTGTTGTTGAATAGAAATTTCTTTAGTAGGTTCCTACAAGCTACAGGGTTAGCTATGTTTTAATTTTTGTATGTACAATTGTAAGTGGTACCAATAAGTATGTTAAATTTTGATTATTTTATCAAGAAGTATGCACAACATAAACCCACATTGTATCATAAGTTATTTATGAACAACTATCAATCGAGAATTACTACTTACCATAAAACATGAAAGCCAAATACTTTTACAAACTGGGATTGTAATTAAGTATATTTTATTTGACAAACAAAGCAATTTAGAGGGCTCATACCTTCCAATAACAGCCAGTTTAAGGTAAGGGTGCGCAGCTCTGAACTGCTCAACCTACTCATTCCCCAGCCCATTTTTATAAGCAATATCCCATTCCGGCCAATGCGCTCTGCTGTTATTTTACTTTCCTCTAAATTTACTTCCAATTTCCACTGCTGGCCCCTCCTTAGAAAGGAGGTTTTGGCCTACTATATCACACAGACCAGTGGAATTGGTAAAAGGTTTGTTTCAAGTTTTCCTTCTATTTACTGTACTGTACTTTTGTCTTCCAATTATCTCATCTAATCTTTAAAGTGCCCAGTTGACTGCACTGGGCTTTCCCACAACATGTCAGGTAATTGTTGGCAAATGTTATGTGTTCAACAACAAAGTTCCAATTTAACTAAACTGTTACTTATTCTTTTATTACCTGTTGAGTTACACCAGTTAATCCTTTCACTTGCAGCAATGCTGCAGTGTGAAGAAATGAGGACAACTTGCTTTCTTCAATAAAAACTTCTCCCTGATACATGTAAGACAACAGACTGACAATATCATCTGCTGACACATCCTTCAAAATTATGACTGGATGTTGACAAGGGTTTTCCTACAATAAGAAAAAGTAAAATTTCAGTTTCAAATACTAGAAAAATCATTTCTATCAAACATTTGTAATTATTATATTGTTAATAATGGTTGAGAATGACAATAATATTTACATAACCTTAGCTACTGTTAACATGTGTATTCCTATGAAAAAATTATATTACGTCAATAATAATAAAAAAAATAATAAATAACATAACAAGGTTAAATCTAGGATCTATATTTATTTCATTTGTAAATAGGATCAGTCAAAAAGGAAAAGTGCAAGTTACTATGAGTACTGTATGTAACATATTCTTGGTATAAATATGAAGGTTATTAATGTCCTAAGTCATTCACCTTGAACACATTCCTGAAGTACGGGCTGCACGCTGACAATATGACTTTATGGGCCTTGATATTTTTGCCTTCGCAGGTGAGCGTTACATCGACCAAATCTTCCGAACACTTCAAGGAATCTAAGGCACTCACTATGTTTGACTGGAAGTTATTCCAACGTAAACAAAATTGATCGGCCATCCCTACAGTTTCTGTTGATTATTCTACAAAACAAAATTATTTATGCTGACTTCAAGCTTTGACAAATGACAATATAAATGAAACCTGAACGGTTTCATGTGTATTGTCATTCTCGAAATATGAAACGTCGAATAACAATTATACTAACCTGTAGTAGATAGCTCATTACAATAACAAAAACATGAGCTTTAGTTAAATTTTTACACTCAATAACAGAAACAAAATCTTTCTAAAAATGCAACAATCGACCTCGACCTTTTTCTTTCACTTTCTTGCAAAACGGTATTTAAAAAGTATAACCCCATAGAATTGGAATCTATGGAAATAGAGTTTAACATTTAGTTGGTGGATCAAACAATCGACTAAAATAAAATAAAAAAAACTTATCACATTTTGTGGGGTAAAATTAATTACCTATGTTTTAAGGATTCATATTCGAACAGGATTCATAACAAGTCAGGATTCATTCTAAGTGTTACACTTAGAATTTAAGATGCTTAATAATCCATAATATTTTAGTTATTTTTATAAACCAACTAGATTGTTAAATAAGAACACTGCCCTTATGCCCGAGCGAAACACAAGTAGGCCACTTCTGCACTGCAACAGAACTTCTATAGACCTGGACGCAAAGTTGTATTGCTCTTTTAGCGTACTGGTGTTTACATGACCTGCCGTCGCTGCATTAGCCCATGCGTGGTAACATTCCTGCTTTTGGTAGGACGCCGTTTTCCAGGATCGGTTGAACCAATGCTTGGATCTGCCACCTATGGGAATGAATGTAGATAGAACGAATACTTCCATGCCCTGAAGTACTACATCAGTGACAGAATCGGTGACGTCGTTGGGATCATTCGGCAAGAAACAAGTCCGCCTCCATGGGTAGGACGCAAAATAAGAGCGCATCCCATACCAGTCCGCTGATATATATTGCAATACGCGGCGGCAGCCGTACTCATACTCCGTATTGCCTAAAAACCTTCCGGGTCAGAGGTCAGCAGAAGGTCCAACAGTGAAGGCTCACGTGGGCGTTGGGCGATCAGTGGCGGATTATCCTTAGGGATAATCCGCCCTTAGTCAGGCAAAGTAGGCACGTGGCACAAAGAAAAAATATTTGCCTAACAAAAAATGGATTGTGTCAGTGAGTATCAATATTTTTATACGATATAATCGATTCTTTAATTCTATTGAGATATTTAAGGTTGAAATCTAGCGTTAATATTACGTTATTGTCACTACTTCTTTGCTTTACACCTCTAATACGCCCGAAGACTGTGTCTAGTGCTTGTACATAAAAATGTAGTTACTACAACAAAAGTAGTAGTTGAGGTTACTCTAGTACCTTGTACTAGTACTCCAGTAATTGTCCACTCAATGGCTCTATACGGTGTACCTTTGTCGGCGGAGGCTCTGATCGTGCAGAGGGTGTTAGAGCCATACGCAATTACCACACCGTGTGGACGTAGACTGCGCGGCGTGCGCGTTGGCCGAAACTCACCCCTGGGATTTGGACGCGGAAGTGCTTGCTATAGTGACGGATGAGTGACGTAAGGGCGCTCGCCGTGCCATGTTGACTCGATGTAGGAAGAGTCAAGAGTGTGTGTCTTCAAAAGCTGTTTCCTGGTTTCTCTTATTTGAGGAGCAGTAAGTAAGTCACTTCTTGTGGCACAGCTCCTAAGAGCGAAGTCGCCCTACGTTCGATCAGAATCCAAGCTGAATCCATAAAAATACAGTCCGAAGTAGCCGTAGAACTATTTCTATAGTGGGTTACGCACTAGATCCGATTTCTTCCTGTTATCCGTAAATCTCGACTCCGAAGAAGATTATTGACGAACCAAAATGGCCATACCAATGCTTGTATGAACACACCTAGAATTCTTTACTTCTTCGAACGTAGTTGACGCCAATCGAAAGAACTCATGATCAACGACGTGAAAGCTCCGCGTAAAATGTATGCTTGGATTAGAGTCAGAGATCGCAATAGTGCGTGAACAATATAAGTGTAAGCGGTAAGGGGGCGTCTATGAAATGCTTATCTAGGGCGCTCTTGATACTTAATCCGCCTCTAGCCCAGATGCATGGTGTTCTAGAAACGTTCTAACTGCAACATGGAATTGCTTGACGACCGGTTTACTGTGAGGACGTGGTATCGCACCGGTCAAGCTGGCACATTTGTGCCGAAACATGGCTCTTCCACGGTAAGGTTTTGGCCTACTATACCGGGCTGTCCAGACGGGTGGGTATAGGGTTTGTTTCGACTTTTCCTTCTCTTTGCAGTGTTGTTGTTCTGCGTAGTTTGTTCTCTTACTACATCCACGGAATTAATAGAGATGATGACATTTCGTATTCTTAATCCGTCACCACACTGACAAAATGTCGAAATAATGTAGGAAGATACGACATTGATCTATAATTTTTGGAATCCTAGGCACTACCAGACTTATAGGGTGGAATTTCTAACGTAGTCATAAAAGATGGAAGTGAACCTGATTTTCATGATTGAAAATGAGATTCCAAACGTACCTACATGTGAGCTACGGAGCGACTTTAACCTAAAGCTATGCATTCCTTTCGGTCCCACTGACTTCCAATGAATTGCATATGGTATGAATGAATTACATATGGTAAATCAAAGTCTGAAATTGATACTGGCTCCTTTGTATTGATTGACTCAAACAATCATTCGACATCTCGCATCCAATCACCCTCTAAGTGAGTGAAAACATCGTCGACTATTTGTTACGCCACAATGTATTGGTTATTTCAACATCTGAAGAATGTCCACCAACTCACTCAATCCAGCCTGATTGAGTGAGTTGGTGGACATTCTTCCCACAGTGTATAAACCCACCTCTCGTTCCTTTGGAATATGCGATTCTGAATATATCGGTCCACTCTCTTTTTATACATTCGTATACCGTTTGCCCATGCATAAGCCTTCTTCTTCAGAAGGTTTCTCAAAGAACTCCTGCCATATAATCTCAGGAACTGATACCAGTGGCCGAAAAAGCCTGATTCACAATGCGCATTACTCTCAATTGTGTGTTGCGTGATCTTAAACAATACAGAAAATGACAATGCTAGTGAGTGCCCTTGCCTCAGCAATACACCGTTAAATTCTACATTGTCAAGTCGGCATAAGATGTTTAGGTTGAGTAACCATGTCAATTCTTCGAAATTTGACACCAGCTACTCGACATGCTGTACCGGTCACACAATCTATATTTGAACGTGTATCGCAGAAGTTTTCACTTCTTTCTGAGTACATTGTTAATATGGTATAGAGTCAAGAGCGCACTAGAGTTTTATTTCGAATATGCATTAGCAAACAAGGTAAACGTGGTCTGTTTACAAAATTCATGGACTCATATTAGAAGATATCAACTAAGTATTGCCTACTATCTCAATGTATTCGGTACTTACAGAAGAAGCATTCATTTCCGCTCTTCCTTTAGCAGGCGAAGTCTGTAGTATTCCAAGATCTTCATGTTACTGATTGTAAAGGAATAAATAAAAGTAGTAAGGTTTATCTCTACATAAGTCAGAGCGTAGCCTTTTAAGTAAGAAGCTATCCAGCAAATTACGTCGTTTAATAGCTGACACTTATAGCTGAAACGTTAACATATGTTTCAAGTTCCTGAAACAGAGTTAGCATTCGATTACGCAGTGAGATTAGATATTATCTTAACGATAATGTTGAATGAGTAAGTTTATTAATTGATAAACAGATTGTGTGTGTGCAAATTTTAGATTTAAGTTAAATACTTAAATCTAAAAATTTTAACTCATGGAGAGCCTAATATTATATATTTTATTTAATAACGATCGATTTAAACGATCTTCTGCTATTTTTGGCAACATTGTGTTTTTGAGGAAACTATGGTCATGATTTCATGAATAAATTTAAAAAAAAGTGTTAAATTCAACTGTCAAGACTCAAGTGTCATTCAAGTCCTGAAATTGTTTGTTCGAAGTTGTGGTGCGTGTAAAAGTCAACAATATCTTTGTTCTTACCAGGATTTTCTCTCTAATAAAGAGCGTTTAATTTTGAAAACAGTAATACATTAAAGTATAACAATGGCAAATGATCCAGAGAGATTCGATACAATGCTACTAGCAATGGCACAACAGCATGAAGGCGGTGTTAAAGATGTAAGAAAATATTTATTACAAATTACATTTTTTTTTGTGATGACTCTTGGTATCTTTGTTATCGGTGTTTTTACACAAAGTTCCTATTGGCGAAGTTTTAGCATTAATAAGTAGTTTCTCGATTGTTCTATGAGGTTCCGCCGAACATTATTGATCACATGCTGCTATATAGTTGTGTTTGCTAGGTTACCACAGCAAACAAAACACTGCGTTTACATAAATTAGAATTGCATAAATTGGCAATAATAGTGACAATTTACTTTCATCCCATATATCATGAATGCTAACTTTTTACTTTTATAAAAAAAAAACAATTAACTGACGATGAAAAAATACTCTGAATAAATAAAAGTGGTAAGACTAAAAAGAAAGTACTAAGACATTTGCTATGCATCATTTCAGTTGCTGAACACAATAGTCAGTTTTCTTGCCAGAAAAACAGATTTCTTCACTGGAGGTGCAGATGGAGTTTGGGAGAAAGTGAGTATAGTAATACAAATGCACAATCAAGTCTTGCTGACAATGCTTAACTGAAACAAGAATTTGTTCTAGAATGTTGTTTAATTATAAGTTTTACCTATCTCACGAAACTTTTATATTTGGACAAATAGAAGATTAAATATAGCAATGTAAATATTGTAAATTGGTACTGATTTGCTAACTGAAACAAAGCAAAATAATGTAGGCACTTTATATATGTAATCATGTTGGGCTTATATTAGATTTGTGAAATAACCTTGTCTTATTCTTGTTTCCATTCTCAAAATAAATGAAGTGCCAAAAACCTATTTTTTTCACATTTGTAGATAAATACATGAAAAAGTGCAAACTTTTTTAGTTAAATTATTTTGAAGTTGGTTGAAAAATGCAAAATAAATGAAGAATGACTGAAATTAGTTAGCCATTTAGAAACTGTAAGTTTCTGTAACCGAATAACTCTAAGATGTATTTATATCAAATAAGTGGTAATAGCTTTCTGCTTCATTTAGGATTATGAATGAAAGTTAATTATGCAATCAATATGTAATTTGTTCATATTTAATTAATAAATCCATTAATTGATTTTTTAAAGTCCAAAAAGAACTACATATCAGATTGAGCTTATTCTTATATTTAGCTTATAGCAGCTTACACTAATACTTTAGTAAATCTAATCTAAGAGGTATCTTTTGACGCTTCATACTTTTCATAACTTTGTAAAGCCATAATTCACACAATTTCAATAACCTTTTCTGTAAAACCATGGAGTTATGTAGCTATTAGCTATTTATTTTATTGCAAGATATACAATTCTTAATGACTAAATTTAAATCTTTGAAACAAAGCAACATAACCAATTTTTACACAATAGTTTTTTTTTTAACTTCATTTCAAAGTCACATAGTTAGGTTCTTTACCTTAGTGTTATGGCTTTTCAAATTCACTTGAATACTAATAGTTAAAATGTATGAAAAATTGAATTTATTGAAAATGAGTAATTTTCAGTTTTTAATGTTAATTTTAATTTTTAGTGTTTAATAATGCTGAAATCCAAATCTCAATGAAAATGCATCATTAAAATTAAGTTTGTCAGTTATTGTAAATTTAAATAAATCATTTTAGGCAATAATTGCTCATATCCAAGTCTAGTGTATACTAAGATTTAGTAGTAACACCTATGATGTATTATTATATGGGCTTTTATAGTAACATACATAAATCTCCTCATAAATTTGACCCCATTGCTAATAATTCAATCTGTCAGAACTGTCAAATTATACCTCTTAGATTAGATGGATTATTGCATTATTTAGCTATTTTGAAATACTTTAAGTTTTGACCAATTCTATTCTTAGTTCTCTTCCATAACTGTCATATTTTTAATTTCCAGATGGTTAAAGATACCTTTTACGCATATGCAAAAAAAGCTGAAGAAGAAGCAGATAGGATTAAAAAAGAAAAAAGTGAGGCTGAAAGGAGATTGAAGGACATACAACAAAAGAAAGAACAAGAAAGAATGGAACAGGATTTCTCACCTGCTTCTGTTACTGAAGTTTCAGAACAGGAAGCTGTTAAAATACAAGAAGATATTGAGAAAGAGAAGAAAACTAGTGAGTAAAACTAATATTCACTAACTAATTAGCCCAGGACAGCAGTACAGATAAGGAAAACTTGAAAAAACCAGTGTGCCAGTGCCAGTGTGGTATAGTAGGCCAAAACCTCATTTCTAAGGAGAGGCCTGTGTCCAGCAGTGTACTCTTATATATATATATATATATCTCGCTATTGATGATGATGATGAATTAGTGCTTGAATTTTTCTGATCTCAATGTTAAATAGGGCAATTCTGAATGTTAATAACTATCTTAATAAGGTTTAAAGAGATTGTGTATGTTAAGGAATGCAATTATTTGACAATAGACAGACATACTATTTCACATGCTACATTTCATATGCAAGTTATTTTCTGGCATGTAAAACTAAAATTGACTGCACGGACGGCATAGTGGTTTGAGCGATCACCACACTGCTTCCTACTGTGTGATCCACAAATTGTTGTTCTAGGTGTTCTTTGTGTCCGTTTTATGTATGTGTGTAAATTCCTCTGCAATACTTTATATATTCGTATTGCGGTCCTAGTGGGTCTTGTAAAAGAAAATACTATTTTAAATGGTTAGATTTTGTGAGTTTACTCTTCCCAGATCATTCAATCAAAAATCTTTTAGTTTTATTACAAATTATTACATATTGCACTGAAAACGCACCAATTTAATAGATAATTTCATTTTTAATCTGAACAACCTTATATAAAACAAACTATTTTACAACTTCAGATATTATGTTCATACTGTTCTTTTGGTTTCATGTATTATTTATTACTTGTAAAGTAAAATACATCAATGCTTCAGTAAAATCATGAATGCTTGATACTTGAAGCTATGAATAATAATTTTATTAGTAATCTTGAACAAACTGCATAATGTTAGCTCTTGCTACTGTTAGTACCCATACTAAGAAAATAATTATTTATGTACAATTAAAGTGTATAATAATACTAATCCTAATTGTAATTTAATCCTAAAATCATTATAGTATGCTTCAGTCTTTTCTTTGAGATATAACATCTATTATACTTACAAAATCTTGCATAAACAACATATAGTTGTTATAATAATATTCTACCACATTCACACAACGCCATCTAGTCCCAAACTAAGCAGAGCTTGTACTATGGGTACTAGACAACTGATATAAATACATATATACTTTTTTTTTGTAAATACATACATATTATACATAGAAACACCCAGACCAAATCAAACATTAAATGTTCATGCACACAAATGCTTGACTTGAGCGAGAATCGAACCCGCGACCTTTGGAATAGCAGTCCGTTACACAAACCACTACGCCATTCGGTCGTCATGTTAAATTTATAGTTTATTCATTTATTGAATAGACATCATAAAAAATTGTTTTACCTAAATTAAATAATTGTGGTTTTTGAACAGACTTTGTTCAAACTGTCTTTTATACTAACATCCCAAGAAACGTAAAATAAATATTTGCCTAGAAACTGAAGTCGGCAGTGGTGATGGCAATACTGCGGAAGCAGAAGCAGCTGAACCCGATGAAGAAGAAGATCCTAAAGAAAAAAACAAAATAAAACCCAATTCTGGGAATGGATGTGACCTTGAAAACTATAGATGGACTCAGACTCTTGAAGAAGTTGAGGTAAGTAATATCTATGATTGATGTTATATGATGTTTGATACTTAGATTTCATCATAAATTATTTTGTATACCACTTAAAACATTCTATAAAATAGTCCAAACCATCTGGCAATGAATAATTTTTATTAATCTTATATAATCAAAAACGAGTTTGCTTAGCAAGCGCTTCCTAGTGGCGTCTTTAGGCCAGAATATAGTTCACTCCTTCTTTTGCAGAAAATTGGTTGCTTATGTAATACAAGCTTCTCTGCGAAGAGTTATTTTAAAATTTATTTATGTAAAAACGTAGGTATTATAGTTTACTATTCATATAAATATGTTAACTATCTGAGTAATAGAAGTTAAACTTAACGTTTTTTTTCTAGTCAGAAGTGAAAACAAAGGCACACCCGTACTATCCTTTTCGTAAACATATTCATATTCACACATTTTCTAGCCCGGGTAATTTTGTTGTGGATTAAGCTGGAAGCCTACATTTCATTGCCTAACAGGGCATAATAATGAGATACATTTTCATTAAATTCAACAAATCTGTACTGTACTTTTACTATTCAATATTTGAAATCATTTTTCTTTAATAAATCATCATCAGCCTATCACAGTTTTGGATCATCACATCACATCACTTTAATGAATAGTAGATATAAGTAATAGAACACGGCAATATCTGTATATGCAGGAAGAATCCCTTGCGTTTCTATTAGGAATATTGTAAAAGAGATTATATTATTCTTAATTGATTATGTTGCCGTATAGTCCGATACGACTGTTCTGTTTCTTTGGCCGGTAACAATTTAAAAATTATAAATTCAGAAACAAGCGTGATTTAAATGCATTGAAGTCGGTTGCAATTTTTCGAAGATAAGTATATTTCTTTTTGTTCGTTTTGTGTTGTATATAGATGTACCTAACTAATTGTATCAACAATTGAATACATCTAGAAAACTACCTAATCTAACTTATTCTATCAATAATAAGTTTTTCGTTCATTTTAATATATTGCTAGAATAATTGAATACATCTAGTGAACCACCAAAACTAACCTATTCTAACATAATTGCAACCCAAATAAATGCTGATTTTAATACACCGCTAGAAGAATTCAATACATCTAGTGAACTACCTAAATTTACCTAATCTAACTTAATTGTATCCATAATAAATCCTTTTCTCGTTTTAAAAGACCCCTAGAATAATTGAATACATCTAGTGAACCACTTAAACTAACCTAATCTAACTTATTGTATCAATAATAAGTTTTTCGTTCATTTTAATAGATCGCTAGAATAATTGAATACATCTAGTGAACCACCCAAACTAATCTAATCTAACTTAATTGTGTCCATAGCAAATCCTTCGCCGATTTTAATGGACCGCGAGAAGAATTGAATATATCTAGTGAACCACCTTTTTTACGTGTGGAAACCTCCTCGAGCCGTCACCCCACCGGGGTTTGCGGCGGGGTGGTGTGTCGGAATCGTACAGGGCGGCATGAGGCTCCGGTAAACGCGCCTCGCCGTTCGGTTCGTCGGCGGCGAATTGGGTCCGAGTGGAGTGGTCATCCTTCCGGGCCCTCTCCGCCGCCTCCAAAGATGCGACCGCGGTAAAACAACTATCACTACCGGCCATTGAGCGTATGACGGACGGTAGCGAGAGATCTCCTCCGATGACTGTAGTGAGGACCCGTCGCTGCGACGCCCAAGCCGGGCAGATTGCCAGCGTGTGCTAAGCGGAGTCGTCACTGCAATTGCAGTGGTGACAGGCGGGACTCAATTCCCTCCGAGCGACCGAGTGCAGGTACTTCCCGAAGCAGCCGTGCCCTGAAAGGACCTGCGTCAGTCGGAAGGAAAAGGTCCCATGCTGCCGCCCTGCCCACTCGATGATAACTCGATGATGCGCAGCTCCACGCATTTAATAGGCCTGGCGATCTTCACACTATCCGTGGCTGCCAAAATTCCCCGCTGTTTCTTAGCAAATTTGTCAGCTGTGTTTGCACTTTCAGCCCAAGGGAACTCGAGGACTCGATCTCCCGTATATAGTGAACCACTTAAACTAACCTAATCTAACTAATTGTAACCAAAATAAATCCTTCGGTCAATACTAGATCGCTAAAATAAATAAATACGTATTATAATAAATAATTAATATATACGTATTATTAATTAGTAAACTACTTAAGGGAAACATGGTTCATAAAATGTTACTTATGTCTGTGACGGAAATTTTATGCATATGTGTTTAAGTTTTGCCAAATAAATGTAAATTTTATGTGTCAAGTAAAAGTTATAATGAAATGAAACTAGTACGATTTTTGTGCTCGTTAACTATTATATTGAATATGCAAAAAACTTTGTCAAAATATTTGATGACACAATAATAAAAGTTGAGAAATTAAAAATGCACTACGACACAATTAATCCCAAGTGCTGGAGTGCTATTCTGGATAAAGAAACGTTACCCTTAAATAAGCACTTGTGCGTTTTTCTCAGCTAATTTGCTGCAAATTTACTGGACCGATTACGTTGAAATTTTGGTAGACAGCAACTTCTGTGACCCAAAGATATAGGTAGTTGCAAAATTTTAAATGTGGGAATGTCCTCATTCCCTGTTTGTCCCCACCAAACAATAAACTAATAAGTTTGCCAACTGTTTTGGTTGATGTGTCAAATAGCAGTTCCTGTAAATTGCATCAAATGCCCGTTCATTCTCAATAATATTTAGTTCTCAGGGCGGATTTATTTTATTATATGGGTATTCTTATTTTTCAACTCAGGAATAGTCAGAAATTTGAGAGGTTTTGTTTTAGAAGGCGTTTACTCTTACAAGTATTGGTCCATTCCACAAAAATTATTTGATGAAATCTTTAAGTGAAATGTTGTTGAAGTAAATGTAGGCAAAGTAAACAAATAATGTTATATAACTGTCGAATTTCTAAATTGGTTTTTAGAAGTTACTTAGGACTAGATGACAATTTAATATTCCTCTCGAGTAACACATTTCTTTTGTACACATTTTCTTGATATTATTCACCAAAATGGCTCGTACTTACTGTCTTTCCCTGACTGTTTTCTTACAGTCCTGTTCCAATTTTTGATATGACTCACTGTTTCAGCCTGCCTTATCCGAGCGGAGTGAGCCAATGCCCCAATATTTATAGAGGCCAGTGCGACGCAAAAATCTACAAGAACTTATCTCTGAAGGATAGGGATAATAGCTATTTTAACGAAATATTTAAAGGTTTCAAGTGAATGATTTATAGACCTTTCAGAGCTTAGCGTTAGCTAAATCAGTTTTATCATGCAGTAAATAAAATTTAACGTAAGAAAGGAGTGGGGAGTTGTTAATAAATAAACAAAATCGTCCTTACGCAATCAATAATTAATTGTTCTCTTATGGGTACTACTCCATTTTTCTTTATTTAAATTTTTAAATAGTAAGTGGTATAAATATAAAGGAAAGGAGAAAAGCACAAGCACAGTAAAAAAAACTTGAAGCAGCTGTACAAAATAGATTTAAGTGTTCGTTTGTACTTGGGAATACCTACTTGTTTTTTAAATGTGAATAATCCAACCTGAGAGTCGTGTGAAAGTTAATTTCGTCTCCTGAGACAATACGTTTAAAATACTAGTGCAAAAACAGTACGTCCCACGGTACAACACTCTTGCTGAAAGATATATGTACATATCCAGAGAAACTCCACACACAACACGTCGGAATCGATACAAAGTTTGGGGAAAACTAAATGATTGTACTGATTCTGCTACAGGAATTCGATGACGGCATGTCGACATCGAATGATGGAGCAAACAGTTACTGATAGTTCAAGGTCATTCTGTAGCGTCTTGCATATCAGACAAAATAGACATGAATCGGAAAATTGCTGCTCACTTTAGGTGCCATGGACATTTCCCCGACATGACTTTAATAACATGTAGGTTTTTTTTTAAATTAAAATATATAAATTTAACTTTTATTATAGTCCAACATCTGATATTATATTATCAGTGATAGTTTATCATATTTATATATAGATATATAGATTATATATATTTGCTTAAAAAGCAGCTTAAGAAGATTTAGATATGACAAAAGTCCGGTACGTCTCTTAACCCTCAGAGAGAGGACTTGTAAGATGTCTCATCCTTACGCGTGGGGACAACGATAAAGTAAAAAAATGTTTGAAATGTAAATTTATTTCGTTTATTATCACAGTTCTTAGACAACAATTGAATTAATAAAGTTCACTTATTCTTCGGCCACCTCGAGGTTACAAAATATTTGTATACCAACGGCAACGCAGGTAACACTTTGTCTAGGTAGCACTACCAAAGATGCAGATTTTCATGTAGAAATTACGAAAATTTGCAAGTTTTCCATATTCAAACCTAAACACAGTAAATAATAATACTTTAAAATTAATCACGTTATAATTTAAACTGTAATGCATAATATTTACTTAACTTATGTGGCTAATAAGTACATATTGTTTTAGAGGAAACAGATTTAGCCTTTGTTCACAGCTGTAAAGCTTTTAAATAATTGAAAATAAATAAGAGTTTACTTAAATTGTTCTACGTTAGTGTTAGGCACTGGGTATGTAAGATATTGCACTATTATATTATTTTTAATTATTTTGAACGTACTTTAACGTTTTCTAACAATTTAAAAATAACAACAATTGACCTTTTTACTACACAGAAAACATAATGTGGTACTAGTAGATAATAATGAAGTTTAAAATAATTGAATAGTATTGATTCCTTTATATGCAGGACGTCTTGTAGGTTCATTTTTCTTCTAAGAATATTTGTAGATGCCGGTCTCTTTCCGCATTCGCACTGTAAAAATATTAATGTTTTAGTATAAAAAATATTTGCATAAAGGGTTTCCTCTTGCATAATCGAAGTGATGATATCATTGATCTGAAGCATTATTAGAGCTTCCTTTATATTCAATAATATAATTTTAGTCAGAGCGTAGATTATAATGAAATTCGATGT